TTCTAGTTATAACAGACATTCCTTTACTAGTCGTAGACTGTTGCCTGATATTCAACACATTTCTCCTGTTGAACCAGTCTATGGACCAGCTAGAAATCGTGCTGCATCTTTACACACAATTTCTACTAAAATAGGTGATAAACCTGTTGAAAGGGTTAAGATTAACCCTAAGACAAATATTGTTCAGGATAGTGATAATATCTCTTATAAAGATATTCCTTCTANTTGCCTGATATTCAACACATTTCTCCTGTTGAACCAGTCTATGGACCAGCTAGAAATCGTGCTGCATCTTTACACACAATTTCTACTAAAGTAGGTGATAAACCTGTTGAAAGGGTTAAGATTAACCCCAAAACAAATATTGTTCAGGATAGTGATAATATTTCTGATAAGGATATTCCTTCTGCGTCCGAAATGGATTTTGACCCCAATGATTCTTAATGATTCCACACCAAATTGATTTTAGTCCAGGGTCACAAGCTAGAGGTTATATTCAAAAAGAATTTTTTACTGATAAATGGAACCAGTTTAAAACTTGGTTTTTTGATACTTATAGTAAGGAAGATTTAAACAATATTTCACAAGAGTTTTATGAAACTTGTGCTTTACATAATCAAATTATGTATTTTGTTCCTTGGTTTATAACCACATATTTACCACTTTTTATAAAAGTTTTGGAAAGATCTTATAAAGATGGGAGTGGCAATATTACTAAAGCCATTTACCCTCCTCAAGCACCTTTTGTTTTACCTAATAATACAGGTATTACTTTAACTGAATTTCAAAAATTTATTGACGAAGAAGTTGCTGCAGTCAGCATCGCATAAATTAATAAATTAATTTCTCAAAATAATTATTTGAGCTTATATGTTAAAGTTTTGGGAGAACAGATTAGTTTTCTTGATAAAAAACTTGATAATTTAACAGTTTTGATAAAAGAAATGAGTACTAGCAAGAAGATGACTGATATTGCCTCTACTTCAGGAAGCAAATCAGAACCTCAAATTGTTGTTACTCATATTCAAAGACCCCCTGATATTTAGGATTTTAAATTTAAATCTTTTGATGACTTAGAAGAACTTCTTGATAAAAAGTCATCCGGTTTGAATATCAAACCCATTGATTTATCAAACGATTTTGCTGATAAATTAGATTCTACTTTTGACTATAAAAAGGATGTTTTGTCAGAGTTTAATAAACTCAGAAGTTATCCCAAAAAGAATAGTAAGTTTGCGGATAGCAGATATGCTGATAAACCCAGAATGCAAACTTNACTTATTATTACAATCGTCCTACTCCTCAAGATGTTTTAATAGAGGAACGTGATTGGAATCAGACTAATACGTCTTATAGTGGTTCCGAAATTTATGAATGGAATCTTGATGGATTGACTGATAGGCAATTAACTATTCTTGTGCATAGAATGCTTATGTATGCAACTATCTGTAAAAGTGTAAAAAATACATATAGGAATATTTGCAGAATGATTGTTGCAGGTTTTACTGGCCAACTTCGTGGCTGGTGGGACAATTATTTGACTATCGATGAAAGAGCAATGGTTATTAATGCTCAAGCCACTGAAGAAGGAGTTGATAACTTAGGCATGGACTTAGTAGCGAATAGAGAAGATGCCGTTTATACCCTTATTCTTACTATTTTAGAACACTTTAATGGTAGATTTACCAATCAGAATGAGACTGTCCGTACTCTTATTAATGGCCTTAGATGTAAGACCTTAAGTGAATTTAGATGGTATAAAAATACTTTTATGAGTAGAGTAATGGAACTACCAGAAAATAAGCTTGATCATTGGAAAGCTAAGTTCATAGATGGCCTTCCCTCTTTATTTGCTGAAAGAGTTAGAAAGATTTTAAGAGGTAGTTATGGTGAAATTTCATACGGAGACTATACTTATGGTAAGTTGATAGGAATTTGCACACAGGAAGGGTTAAACCTGTGCAATGAATTAAGATTGTCCAGACAGCTTAAGATGGATAAGCTTAAGGAAAGAAACCAATTAGGGGACTTTTGCACCCAGTTCGGTCTACCCGAGACTTCTACTCATAAGAAGAAGAAACATAAGTATTATAGATACCCCAACCAAGACAGTCCTTATAGGAGAAAGAGATCTAGATATAGATCCAAAGAAGAACGAAACNAGATGTTAGCTGCATTCAAAAAGGTTTAATACCTACGAAATATTTTCAAAAAACTACTCACATGGTTAGATCTGCATCCGGACATGCTTTAGATATAAAGTATAAACTTCCTAATACGGGTATTTATCAGAATAAAATCTGTATTCCTCATTTCTTCTTCTTGGTTAAAAACCAGTTATACCCTCCTATTATACTAGGAACACCGTTTATTAATGCTATTTATCCTTTTACTAGCATAGACTCGAAAGGTTTTACTGCTACTTATAAGGATAAAGAGATAAGTTA